ATTTTGGACGCGAATGTATTAGCAAAAGAAGCAGAAAGAAATGCGTCACATGTAGGACAACAAGTGGATCAAGCCCCAAATATAAGTCACGCAGCTTCAAATGGAGCATCCTCATCTAGTGGATCAACTTCAGGAACTGGTAATGGTAATGTTCCTAGAGATGAAAATACATTTAATAATGATACAAATATCGAGAGTAATGATGAAAGTAGTTTGGAATTTTTGGCAAGATTGACCAGAAAGTTGCAATTTTTTGAAACGAGATTAAACACGATGGAGGATTTAGTACAATCCGGTGTGTTGGATCAAGCTCAAGCGAATATAGATTATTTGAAAAAGAAATGGGAAGAAATTACGGATGAAATGGATTCAGCTTGTATGATTGCTGACGACGCAGGAGAATATACCGAAATATTCTTTAGAATCGAAAGAAAATTTTTAAGCATTTTGGCATTAATGGGCAAGGGTCCTGAAATTTTACATGTCGGAATAGAGCCAAATATCGTGAAATTACCACCAATCAAAATTCAGCAATTTAGTGGCGAGTTTAAGGATTGGCCAAAGTTTTCAACGTTGTTTAAGAGTATGATTATTGACAATTAAATGCTTAACGATGTACAACGGATGCAGTATTTGCAAACAAATATGGCTCCAAAAGCGTCAAAAATAATTGACCAACTGGGATTGCAAAATTTCAATATAGCTTGGAAATTGTTGCAAGGTCGTTATGATAATAAACGTGCTATCAACAATATGTTTTTAGATAACTTAATGGATTTACCAAAAATGACTAAAGATACTCAAGCAGACATGCAGCAATTAATTGATACTAGTAGAGAATTTATTGCTTTGCTTGAGGGAATGACAATGGAGGATATCATTTTAAGATTATTGAGTAAAAAATTGCATCCAAGAAGTCTGGAAAATTATAAATCAACATTAAAAAATCCAAAAGAACCACAAAAATTAGAGGATTTTTATCTATTTTTGGAGCAAAGATACCAGATTTTGGGTTCTGTTGAGGCTGAAAATGGTTATTATAAAAAACCATTCACAAAGGAAGAAAATAAAAAAGTTTTGTTTAAAAAATGTGTAGATTGCGGGGATGCAAGGCATCCAATTTATTTATGTGACATTTTCAAAAGGCGAAATATGAAAGATCGTCAAAGAATTGTAAGAGAAAAAAATCTTTGTCATTTATGTTTAAAATCAGATCATGTATATAAATTTTGTAAATCAAATTTGAAATGTAGAGAGTGCGGAAAGAGGCACAATACATTGTTACATTTGGATAATGAGTTTGAGTCAAAGCCAACTATATCATATTCAAAGTCGAATACTTCATATTCAAAGTCAGGTACATCATATGCTAAACCAAGTGCAGCATACTCGAAGAATAATCACCAACAAAAAAAGGCGTTCTTGTGTACTGCTGAAGAAAATGAAAATAGTGATGAATCAACTGTAGCATGTGTTGCTTCAAGTCAAAACAAGGGCTCAAAGGTTTTGTTGGCAACAGCTAAAATTAGAATTAAAACTGATTTTGGGTGGTCGGAAGAATTTGGTGCATTATTGGATCAGGGATCTATGGCAACGTTTATAACTGATGATGCAGTAAAGAAATAAAAATTAAAAAAGGAAAAGAATAATGTGTCAGTTTCTGGGATTGGAGGTGTTAAAACTGAAAAATCTTTGGGAAGTGTGAATTTGGAGTTTACAGCACGTTATCCAAGTGCATTTATAGGGAAAACTAAAGCAATAATTTTAGGGAAATCGACAAATTTATCACCATTATCTTATGCAAAGGGAAAGATCAATAAGATAAACAATTTCAATCAGTTAATTTTGGCAGATCCAGATATTAGCAACACTTGTAAAATAGATATAATTTTGGGAGCAGATGTGTACGCAACGTTGTTATTAAATGGTGTAATTAAGGCAGAAAAAGATAATTTGGTTGCTCAAGAAACTCAGCTTGGTTGGATCATTTCAGGTGTTTTGGGTCATCAGTTAGAATTAAATGGTGTTTGTTTAATATCAACTATTGATGAATTAAATGAAAGTATGAAAAAATTTTGGGAAATCGAAGAAATTTTTCCGTCACAGTTTATATCGGAAGACACAGAGAGAAAATTTACACGAATACACTTACAGATTCTGTATAATTTTTGACATTTTACGTATTCTGTATAATCAACAGAGATATTGTACACTGTCTGTATAATTCGCTATTGATTTATATGTCAGCGCATCTAAAATGTTGCCAGATGAGTTGACAGATGAATCAATAGCGAATTATACAGACAGTATACAATATCTCTGTTGATTATACAGAATACGTAAAATGTCAAAAATTATACAGAATCTGTAAGTGTATTCGTGTAAATTTTCTCTCTGTGTCTTCCGATATAAACTGTGACGGAAAAATTTCTTCGATTTCCCAAAATTTTTTCATACTTTCATTTAATTCATCAATAGTTGATATTAAACAAACACCATTTAATTCTAACTGATGACCCAAAACACCTGAAATGATCCAACCAAGCTGAGTTTCTTGAGCAACCAAATTATCTTTTTCTGCCTTAATTACACCATTTAATAACAACGTTGCGTACACGTCTGCTCCCAAAATTATATCTATTTTACAAGTGTTGCTAATATCTGGATCTGCCAAAATTAACTGATTGAAATTGTTTATCTTATTGATCTTTCCCTTTGCATAAGATAATGGTGATAAATTTGTCAATTTCCCTAAAATTATTGCTTTAGTTTTCCCTATAAATGCACTTGGATAACGTGCTGTAAACTCCAAATTCACACTTCCCAAAGATTTTTCAGTTTTAACACCTCCAATCCCAGAAACTGACACATTATTCTTTTCCTTTTTTAATTTTAATTTCCTTACTGCATCATCAGTTATAAACGTTGCCATAGATCCCTGATCCAATAATGCACCAAATTCTTCCGACCACCCAAAATCAGTTTTAATTCTAATTTTAGCTGTTGCCAATAAAACCTTTGAGCCCTTGTTTTGACTTGAAGCAACACATGCTACAGTTGATTCATCACTATTTTCATTTTCTTCAGCAGTACACAAAAACGCCTTTTTTTGTTGATGATTATTCTTCGAATATGCTGCACTTGGTTTAGCATATGATGTACCTGGCTTTGAATATGAAGTATTCGACTTTGAATATGATATAGTTGGCTTTGACTCAAACTCATTATCCAAATGTAACAATGTATTGTGCCTCTTTCCGCACTCTCCACATTTCAAATTTGATTTACAAAATTTATATGAATGATCTGATTTTAAACATAAAAGACAAAGGTTATTTTCTCTTACAATTCTTTGACGATCTTTCATATTTCGCCTTTTGAAAATGTCACATAAATAAATTGGATGCCTTGCATCCCCGCAATCTACACATTTTTTAAACAAAACTTTTTTATTTTCTTCCTTTGTGAATGGTTTTTTATAATAACCATTTTCAGCCTCAACAGAACCCAAAATCTGGGATCTTTGCTCCAAAAATAGATAAAAATCTTCTAATTTTTGTGGTTCTTTTGGATTTCTTAATGTTGATTCATAATTTTCCAGACTTCTTGGATGCAATTTTTTACTCAATAATCTTAAAATGATATTTGTCATTCCCTCAAGCAAAGCAATAAATTCTCTACTAGTATCAATTAATTGCTGCATGTCTGCTTGAGTATCTTTAGTCATTCTTGGTAAATCCATTAAGTTATCTAAAAACATATTGTTGATAGCACGTTTATTATCATAACGACCTTGCAACAATTTCCAAGCTATATTGAAATTTTGCAATCCCAGTTGGTCAATTATTTTTGACGCTTTTGGAGCCATATTTGTTTGCAAATACTGCATCCGTTGTACGTCGTTTAGCATTTTATTATCAATAATCATACTCTTAAACAATGTTGAAAACTTTGGCCAATCCTTAAACTCGCCACTAAATTGTTGAATTTTGATTGGTGGTAATTTCACGATATTTGGCTCTATTCCTACATTTAAAATTTCAGGACCCTTGCCCATTAATGCTAAAATGCTTAAAAAATTTCTTTCGATTCTAAAGAATATTTCGGTATATTCTCCTGCGTCGTCAGCAATCATACAAGCTGAATCCATTTCATCCGTAATTTCTTCCCATTTCTTTTTCAAATAATCTATATTCGCTTGCACTTGATCCAACACACCGGATTGTACTAAATCCTCCATCGTGATTAATCTCGTTTCAAAAAATTGTAACTTTCTGGTCAATCTTGCCAAAAATTCCAAGCTACTTTCATCATTACTCCCGATATTTGTATCATTATTAAATGTATTTTCATCTCTAGGAACATTACCATTACCAGTTCCTGAAGTTGATCCACCAGATGCAGATGCTCCATTTGAAGCTGCGTGACTTATCTTTGAGGCTTGATCCACATGTTGTTCTACATGCGACGCATTTCTTTCTGCTTCTTTTGCTAATACATT